TCCAGCTTGCCCCGTAAGCCACCTGTGCCGAGCCCTGTCATTAATCTATGCTAAAAAAACGAAATTTTGAAAAAGAAAGCAAGTTTTGAACTTGTTTGGCTCTCATTCGTTGACAGATGGGTAAAGATGACTTTATAGCGTTTATCAACCAGTTGTTCTAGAGCGTCTACAATATCGAGAAGTTTGAAATCCTTGAATTTTCCATGATTTTGGAAAAAGATTGACGAAATGAAACTTATTCTAGAGTTACCCAAGAGAACAACTTCTGTGTATGATTTTGGACTGGTTTGTAGAATTTCGCATAATCTGCAGACTTTTTCTCGTGTGCAACTGATTAGCAGTCTAAAGAATGTGGGCGATCTAACGCAGATGCGTGAATGGCGCAGTGCGAACGTGCGCCGATGGCGCGCAAGTGACAATAGGTTCGACACCTGACCATGACGACGCGTTCTTTGATGACATTGCATAACCACCGAGATATCTGATCTTTGTGATTACCATTCATGCAACACCAACTGAGAACGAGACTTCATTTTATATGGTACATACAACAGTGAAACAATCACAAAAGATAGAAAAAATAAAAGAATACATAGACAAACACCATTTTTTGGAACTCAACATGATTTTAGGTGAGGAAAATGTTGAACAATTTGTCGAGCTACGGTGAAATTTCGATAGCTACCCGGACTATCTTACGTCGATGGTTGCTTAGAACAAATTTATAAAGGAGTTTTATGCGGGGGGAAGGAGAGGGTACATCGCAGAAAATACAGTAGAATATGTATAGGTAATGAAATGCCCATTTGACTAGAAACAATAATTTTATCAACTGACAGTTCATTCTGCATGTTTCAATTGATAATCTATCTCTGTTCTTCCATTACTCTTTAGTTTTTCTCTTCTTCGTTCGTTGTAACCTGTTCGCATATGGTGGACTACTTTGTTGAAGACCCTAAATAAAAGATTTATATTTTAGGCATTGATTTTTTACCCTAGCGCAATAGAAAGTACCTTTGGTAAGCTAGAATCATCTCGGATCGCTTTCCTTCATCTTCCATATAACTTGATAGTGTGTCATCGATTGCTTCAGCCATGCATACCTAAAATTTTTCTACCTAGAACTGAGGTATGAGCCGCGATATTTGGTTTAGGGTTTTGAAGTTTTCAAGAAAATTCAATTCGATTGAGGACGAGTTCGTTTTTTATCACCAAGAATGGAATCGCAAAGGTGGTCACTACGATAAACATATTATCTCTGTATACATTATAGTTCTTTTCAGCATATAATATCT